GTTAAATACACAATATACGTGAAAATAAATAAAATATGCACACTTCATATATTACATTTTTACATTTTTACAATTTAGTCAATCACTATAAATTTTGACTCGGTAACAAAGTGCTAGCACCAGTAACAGAGGACATTTTAGAGAAATCATTCATAAAATGCAGTCGGTGCGGTCTACAGTGTCGTAGAAGCGCAGACAGGCCTTGTAATGCAGCAGCTTCTCAGTCAGAGGGCTGATGGTCAGCGCTTTGCCCTGAACACTTAGGTCCACGTACCTGCACAACATTAATATAACAAGAAATACACTTAGAGCTGTGATACTTTTTTTTTCTTTTTACAAATATACTTGTGAAAACATGCTTTGAATAAAAAGTTTACACTGAAACTGTTTAGTTATCATGTTTCTTATATCAAACTCTATGTATGTGTTTTTGCTAAAACATCAAATTCTTTACCAGCTGTTGATATGAACCTACAACAGACTGTGATGGACATGGAACAATCTAAACTTTATTGGATCATCGTCTACCTGTTTTACTGTACCTGTATGACACACTCCAAAATGCCAGGGTATTTACAGCCATCAGTGTGGCCAAGAGGAAGAAGAATCTCTCCAAATTGCCATCATGCAGTGTGCTTGGGTAAAAGCTTCCTGTAACAGAGCACCACAGTGTTTAGTACCAGTGCCTCTATGTCATTTGTTAGTCCTGTATTTGTATTTTCTTGTCTGTTTGTTTGTTTGAATTTTACCTCCAGAGAGAAAGTACATCAGCTGAATAATAAAGGCACCGAGAAAACATCCCCCTCCATAGGACAGAGTGAGGAAGTGCAGGGCGATCCCTCTGATGTGGTTCGGGGTGAGCTGGAAAGAAATGAGGGAGCCTGCCAGACAACAGAAACTGTATGAGCATGTCTCCTGCTGCTTATGTGCCACATTATACTCGTTTCACAAATCAGAATGATATGCACAAACGGAGACATAACAGTAAGTCTCCCACTCACACGCAGGGGTGACGAGAGCTTCTGCCAGACCGAGCAGGATGTACTGAGGAGCCAGCTGGAAACACGGCATGGAAGAAACTTGCAAAAGCTTTCCAGAAAGTGTCTGCTCCACCAGGGGGTAAGACTTCCTCTGCAGCTCAGTCAAACCTGCAACCAGGACCGACAGAGTGGCACATGCATGGCCCAGAGCTGGAGGGGGAGGATGGACAGGGTGGGGTGATGAGAGAGGGGGCTGAGGAACGGGAGGTTGTGATTACAAGACAAAAAGAGGGAATGAGAGGAGATAAAGGAATATTTAAGAGAATAAATAACGACAACATGCGAACTAGTTGGGGCTTGCATGCATGTAAATACTCACTAATACGTTTTACAGGTGCTGGAGGAGTTTTTTCCATGGACAGGTAGCAGGTCATCACACACTCCATCAGTGGCGCTAAGAGCAGCAGAGGCAGGATGCTGATCACATTCATGGCAGCGATGGGCAAAAGGTGGTCCTTCAGGTGAAGGTTGGAGCTCATCGTCTGAATGTAGTAACCTGAGGGGATCTGTGGGAGGCATATTTCTTAACTAGACCTGAAGGCGATTAAACAAGTCAGTTTTCTGCTTCATGCATTGTAATTTCTCAGGGACCTACCTGTGTGAGGCAGACTCTGTAGAGCAGCTGAAGCCCATAAAGAGGGAAGAGCTTGGCCAGGACTTTGGCATTCTCCACGTGAGTCTCACTGTACCGGCCACCATTATTCTCTTTCGCCCGGTCCAGCCAAGATGCTACCTGCCCGCTCAAGTAGCGATAGTGGAGGCAGCACATCTTGAAAGAGTTCAAGAAAACTCCCAATGTGGTCAGTAATGATCCACCTAAGCTCAATAAAAGCATGAAGCACGAACAGTTTAACTTTTTGTGGCCTGTACAAAAAAGGAGACGAGGAAGAGGTTTTCTCTTTCTAATCCTTTTTTTGGTATCTTACCTTTCTTGGGTTTGTAGGTGAGGTTACTGCGCATCATGTGTATGGCAATGAGAGCCAGCAGCACTGAGGTGAAGGGGATGAGGAAGCCCAGATTTTTGGCCACAGATTGCTGGATGTAAGCAATGCCCAGAAACACAACAGTGGAATTCAGATTCACCAGCCAGTAGAACCTAAATTAAGAGAAAAAAATCTTAGAGTGAGCCAGTGATATTGGTCAGATTTAAATCCAAAATATCTTTGTGCTAATTTCATCATCTAGGGTGGTTCAATTTAAACTTGTTTTGTCTATGAAAGGAGAAGGAGTCCTTAGAGGAAACCCCCAAGCAACCCAAGAAAAAAATAACAATAAGGCAAAAAAGGTTGGTTGGAAAAAAAAAAAAAAAGCAAGGCAACAACAACTTTTTTTGTCTGAAATCAAACCATACGAAACCCAACCTCGCAGAACTAAAAATGAATCTACTGGTAAACTACATGTATGATGTGTCAGGGTAGCCTCATCACCCACCAGTTGAAGAAGGTCAGGAGCTGGTGCTGGTTGTAGCCCTGCAGGTTGTAAGCTCCCATGGGGCAAAGGATAGCTCGGATGCCACCGATGCCCAGTGCAGCAGCCAGCAGGCCAGTGTAAAAAAGAATCTGCTGCTCCCGAGACCCCAGCTGGTGGGTCATGTGGTGGCTGTCGATGTAGAAATCCTCAAAGGGAAATGCCACCACAGGCAACATGGCTGTACCTACAGTGGCAGATGCATCTAATGATTCTGAGTGATATTTTCTTTTTGGCAATGGTTGATTTGATACATTCATGAGATATGTAGTCAAAAAAAAATTACTGAAACAAATGAAAAGAAGTACAAGGTGCCCACCTGTTTTCCTGCCATTTAAAAATAAAAATAAAAACATTATAATATTATAACATTATAAACAGCTGTCATCGCCTAACATCTGGCATCAGATCTTACTCTAGTCTTGCTTTTCACAATAATACAGTCCAAGATGGTAAACGCTGTTTTAGAAGTCATATGGCTTCAAATTCTTGGCAGCCAACTTGTGTCAACCTTTAATCCCTTGTGTCTTACCAAAGAAATGAAGAAACGCACACACGTATAGCACCTTAGTCCTTCCTAGACAGGCTTCTGCAAACCAGCCAACCAGAACAGGGGTGAGTGTGCTGGCTCCTATGAAGCACAGGTTGACTGTTGCAGCGAGGTAGTTGTCATATCCGAGCTTCACAGTGCAAAATAGAATCATGTTACATACAATCCCAAAGAAAGTGAACCTTTCAAATAACTCCACAAGAAGTACACAGATGATCACTTGGAGCTTCTTGCGAGGCTTCTTTCGTGGTCTCTGGTCTAGATGAGGCGTGTGGGAGATACGTCGCAGTGGGCTTCTGCCCTCTGGGAGTCTCCTGAAGTCTCCTGCTACCATCCCGGGCAGCTCTTCTGCTTGGTGGGGTGAATCCTGTCGGTAAAGAGCTTTGAATGAGAACTGCTGCCCTTGTCGGGAAGGAGTAACAGAAGCTGGAATCTCACAACCAGGTGTGACTCTGACACTGGACACGTATACTCAGCCACACCCACCTGTTTTCTGCAAATGGCCATTCCTGATTCGTCCATCTTTATTTTACGGGGAAGTGTGGATGTATTACTCAGATTTCACACATTATGAAAAACTATATAAGGGAGGAGTGATGGATGGGAGCTATTTAGAGGACAACCCTAAAATATTTCTAATATTTCAAAGATGTGGCTGTTTGATTTATTTCTTTTTGTTTTTTTAAATAATGATCTTTAATGCTGTGAAGATAGCATTATTATCCAGATCAAACGGGTTCAATTTCACTTCAAGTCATCTTATAAGATACCTGGTATAAATAATGACTTAAATAATGTTGCCAATGAATGGTCTGTCATGTGATGATAAATATAATCAGTTTATTAAGTGGAGCTCTGGAGTAGTAGTAGTTAGTTTCTGGGAATACAATAAGCCCAATAACTAACGTCTCCCTTTGAAGGTTAATCTTTCCATGATTGAGGTTAACCACGGTTGCTGACATGCTCACTGTTTTCAGTTAACATAATCACAGTTGTATTGTGGGAACGTACAATATTATTGTAACATTAAAAAATAAACAAGTGCAGAAGGTTTTACAAACACTCACAAAATATTACATGTCTCTGTGAAAGCAGCTCTTCTCTTCACTTCCCCGTACAACCTCATTTTGACTGGCCTGCTGGTAATTAGACTCAAAATGTTAAGTGAGAGTGAGACAGGGTGCATGTGCATGTTAACTTCAACTAAAGGAGCTCTGAGACAGACAGCATTTTATCACTGTAGGAGGTGAACTAGCTGTCCAAACAAGCACTGAACATTGGAATTCATTAAAGTACACAGTCTACAGTCCTTAATAGACTTATTTTTAGACTTATCTACATTTTATTGATATGCTGACAACGTTTAATGATAAGCACCTTGCAATAATACTACCAGAAATGAAGCAAGAGTCCAATCAATATATCTGATTTCTCTGCCTTCCCCACCTTTAGGAATGTCCCATGTAATAAAATATGATAGAAGCAGTCATTCTAATGAACCTCACAAAATGATTGAAGGTTTATCATATTTAAATGTCCCAATTGCCTTCTTTAATGAAGAAACAGCTAAAAGTTTACACACAGTGTGTCACACACTCATCACAAACATGAATGTCATGGTAATTTTGGGCTTCATATGATGTCTTTGAACTTTTTTCCAGATTGGAACGGTTGTAGTATACATAGTAGTATATATATAGTATACATCTTTAATGCCTTAGAAAACAAGAATTAAGTTAACAAGTTTGAATTTCTTTTCGGATTTAATCCTTTAAAGCAAAAAAAAAAAGTGGCCTATATTTTAGTGTAATTTAAATTGGGAAGTAATATACAAACGTGAGATTTTGTACCATTATTGCTTTAAATAAAAAGTGGAAATGTGAAGCTGTTTGAGCAGGTTGATTAGGACTGTTAAACTACATGCGTTTTTGTGGTGTCGCCATGGTTACGAAAACAGCGTCCAGCTGAGCGTGGGGGCGTGGTGTATCATGGGAAAAAGTTTGTAAATCACTTCTAACCTCCGCTGCTGCAAACTCGTGATTGGAAGAAGAGACCAGCTGGCCTGGAAAGAGACAGTTAACCTGTAAAATTAAACATAATAGCTCCAGTTTGCATTTGTTTTTTCCGTTAAGCTAGTTTGCTCTGCTAATGTTTCATAGCATGTCACAAAATGTGTTTATGTTGTCGTTGGAGTGAGCTAAGGAGCTGAGCTAACGTTAGCATGCTGCTAAATACATATTTTCATATAGCGTCGTCCGTGTCTGGCATTGGAATTTCAGATTTATGTGTCTCATTACCCATTTATTTTACATTTTACATACGAAAACAGAAAAGACTTAGCGAACTTTGTTCGCTTTTGTGCTGTCCGCTACAGATTTGCTGGCTAGTGATGTCTGGAGAGAGGCTACCCAACGACTTCAGCTCGACCCCTCTCAAAGACTTCCATCCATCAAAGGACTTTGGCGACGGAATCCTATCCGACGAAGAAGACACTTTTTCTCTGCTTTCTCCAATCTATCACGACAGCTTCGACAGTGACGAAGAAGAACTGAGATCCACCCCAGATCAGCAGACCACTTCCCCCAGAGAGAGGGATGACTCCAGGCTCAGTATTTCACCATTCAGGTGCTGCAGTAAAGCTTTAGTTCAGCTTTAGTTCTGGCTTGTTTGCGGCATAGCTAATTTTATATCTGCGTTTATTTTATAGATGTGAGCTACCAAAAGCGATTTCGGAGCAGCCTGCAGCTTCACCTACCCTCAGTGCGTGGGAAATGTGGTTGGTGAATAAAGCAAAAGAGGAGCGTCTTAAGCAGGAAAAGAAAGTAGAAAAGGCATGCAGTCATTAGTCCCATCCCCATAATAGAAAAGTGTTTTTATTCTGATTGTAATTTGTTGTAGTGACCATTTCACCCCAATAAAAGCTCCGTGTGTCCCGCATATTAGGAGCACTTACTAAAAGAAAGAAAAGAAAAACAAGAACGAGAGCAGGAACAGAAAAAGCTCATCATGGAAAACAAGATCCAAGAATGGCTAAAACTTAAAACAGAACAGGTAAACAACTTCTCAAGTAAAATTGTTGTGTTGATCTTCTTATCTGCTACGCCACAGTCTTTTATGTTTCTTGTTATAATTCTAGGAGAGACATGAGCAACTTCTTAAACAAAGAAAGGAGGAGGAGGAGATGCAGAGGCAGCAGGAGAGACGGCGGGAGACTGAACAGAAAGCTCAACAAAAGTACAAAGACTGGCTGCAAAGAAAGAACCAAGAAAAAATAGAAAAGGAAAAGAAGGAGAAAGTAATCAGGCTCTCGTTCAGCTGTCTCTTCTTTTTTAAATTCCAAATGGTTTCTCAGAGATTTCTTTTGTATCTTTTTGACAGGAGGAAGCCTCCCTGAAGGAGGAGCAGGAGATGGAGCGGCGTAGGAGGGCTGAAGAGAAGTTTAAGGAATGGCTGGCAAAGGCGAATGAAAAAAGCAAAGCTAGTCCCAAAAAGCCCAGCTATCCATCAAGTATGTTTATTTGAATTAACTTGGCGTTATTGGGTTTATTTTACTCAAACATCATAATCATTCCATAGAATAGAATAGAATTCAACTTTATTGTCATTGCACATGCACAGGTACAGAGCAACGAAATGCAGTTTGCATCCATGCAGAAGTGCTTTAGCCATGATATAGATATATTACAATATATATTAGCAATAATATAGATATGTGAGTATATTACAGAAATGGGTCTATTATGGTATGTTATAATGTGCACGGTATGAAGTATGTT